CTCCAGTGTCTCTTCATACAGATTTCCTGCAACTTTCCCACAGGATTCGTATCACTTCCCTCTTCGTCGTCGCCGTCGCCACTCTTCTCTTCAATCATTTCGCTCTCATTTGCTTCACTGCAAAAACCATTACAAATCAATGCCTGCGAGTGTTAACTCAAGTGTGAGGTAGACATGGATGGAGGGGTTGTACCTAATATCCAGTTCGCGAAGAATCTCAAGAATTACTTCCGGATTCTCCACCTCATAGTCGCTCTCTTTGATGATATATTCAATGGCTTTCTTTGCGACCGCGTGTTTGGCCTTCTTCTTGCTCTGACCGGTGGCCGTCACCGACACATCTGATCCAAACATAGAGACAAACAAAGCATTAGCGCATTCAAGCCATGACTGGCCAGTACTGGTCACTCACCCCCGCACTGAACGCGGTATATGAAAGTGGGCGCGTGAACGACACCCTCCACAGACAACAACTGGTATTCCGGTGACAGTCCGTTGTGGGCGCAGATCTCCTGAAGCCGTGAAATCGGTGTTTTCTGTCCATACAATCACATTGTAATCAATAAAAGCATAAATCAATCGTTAAATCCTTACTTCCATTCAATTGTATGTCTAAACACTTCAAAACATTTCAATCAAAACTAATTCAATATTTATTAACCGCTTTATTATTACAGCCAAAGATAATCACGTCTTTTAATGCAAACTTTTTATATCACAATTTGTCCCCTTTTTGTGTCCCTTTAACTCACACTTTATTATCGCACTTATAATCACATTATGTTTAATAAACGCGTTATTATTGTTTAGACCTTCAATACTATATTTTGCACAGTACTCTATGGCTGTATTCAATGCATTATAGACCACATTGAATAGCATTGCTGTACTTTTGTGACGCTTAATGTGCAACAAAAGAGTACAGCGTTTCCTATAATATAGCGATGTATATGTCATACTATACTGTACTCATCGCAGAGTGTGTTTGCGTGAATCAAACACATGCGTAATCCCTATACTGTGTCTATGCGTGCATTCAATGCACACACAGTGGAGGAGAGGGCAGGCATTGACACGGGAGGCATATGTGTCCCTATTATAGCTTATACTATAGACCCCCGAAGTGGCCCAAACCTGGTGATATCACTCACGTCACATACACGACACTTACGTGACGTACACACACAACACACATAACACACTCACTTACCGTATTATCAAACGCACTGCAAACAGACGTATGTATAGCACTCGGTAAGTAAACCCGCTAACTTTCTATGTGTTGCCATTGTTTGCCATTTTGTATAATAAATCGCATAACATTTGTCACAAACTCTTCATTTCTATCGAAAATAACATTAAAATCACAAAACTTTGAAAAAATTGCAAAAAGTTTTCGTGAGTTTTCGAAAAGTTCGTGACTATAGTATTGAGCGAACCGTTTGATTGATTGACTACTAGTAGTGATTGCATTGAATGAGACCACTACAGACGCTGGTTAACCCACCTGTGAGCCCAGTCGTTTAATCGGTTATATCACCTGCTGTTCTGATAATAGCGAGTTGACTAGGCGCTTTTCAGACTAGCGTAGGCTGAATAGCTCAAGTTAGACGCCCGTGCTGACATTTGGCAGTTCTTCAGGTATACCATACATACACATGTATATGCATACATCCACACATATGAACGAGCAAGGCCATTTCGCATAAATCAACTTGCTCATTTATATGCATTTGACAGGGGTATACCCTATAGGCCGACAATGAAGTAACAGTTAGAACATTGTAACTCTAATAGAGTTGACGTACAGTTGATGTGCTTTTCTTGTCAACTACTGTAGCGTTCAAAGTAGTGATAATGTAATCTAAAGCTGTGTCCACACATGCACTGCACTGTCCAAAGCAGTGACTAATTATTATTGTTTGTATATTTGCGATACGAGTGGACACAACCCACTCATTCTCCCAATGATTGTCTAAAGTATTGTCTTTCTCTGCAGACTTGTGTGTTTGGACGGAACCACTCTTCCGTATGCGGTATGTGTCAGATGTCTGAAAGCTGTGAGCTATAAGGCGAGGGAAGGGACGGGAGGTCTTCATCGTCATCCCTGTTCCAAGCAATCGATTGCCGCCGCCATCGCCGCTGGCATTCCCTTCAACACATCCACTAACCGATCGGCAAAAGCCTCTAAATTGAAGTCAAATGCTGGCAATAGCAACAAAAGTGTTGTTTCCATAACTCCTTCCACGTCTTCGTCGTCTTCCGCAACGATTCCTAACAAACAGAACGCAAACTTTGCTTTCAATTCAATGGTTGCCATTGAAATTGTTAACAATTTAGTTAAAAATAGTCGTCATTTGGCACAGGATTTGATGGGAAATGCGTTATCACAACACTCTCTAGAATCGCACAATCAATTAAGTGATGTGCAGAACAATGAGATCGTTATTCGCACAGAATTGGCATCACTTAAGACACAACTCAATGATATGACAGCAAAGAGAACACAATTAGAGTGCGATCTGAAGAGCACTCAAAATGAATTACACGAAAGAAACGAATCCATTAAAAAACTGAACCGAAAGTGTCTTCTATTCGCTAAAGAAAAAGACAGTTATAAACAACTCATCACTTCTTATGTATGAAATTGTTGTCATTTTTTGCTTTCTTTGAATTAAAGTTAATTTATTTGACAATAAGGAACACGACGTGACTCTCGATTGGAACAAAGTATCCAAAGACAGGATTTCCAGCTTAGAGTCCATTGTCGATGAATATCGCCATTTTGTGGAACAGTTAGAAACAGAGATTAAATCACTGAAGAATGGGGAGGAATCGGAAGAATGTCACCACAAGATGAAGGCATTAGAGAATAGTTTTAATGAAATAAAAGCCATGAAAGACAAAGAGGTGGAGATTGTGGAGTCGATGGACACTTCGCCCGACGCGTGCACAACAGTCACGCCTACTGTTTATCGTGTCATTCATTTCAATCAAAACCCAATCGCAGTAAACGTTGAGAAACATAACGAAGAATTCAAACGACTCGTGGATGAGAACCAAAAACTGTTGAATAGAATCGTATCGTTAGAGTCGGGATCGGAAGCAGACGTCAGCAAAAGACTCGAAGAAGGCGTCAAAAATAGTCAAGAATTGGAAAAACTGCAGAAAAAGTTGAGTTCCGCTGAAAAGAGTCAGCAAAAGATTATCGACGCCTTTAAGCGGACGAGTAAAGAGTTCCGAGAAGTTTGCTATCGTTTAACGGGTTTTCGAATCGGTATTTATTTTAGAAATGATTCTTAATTTTTAAATAACACTTTGTTTGCAATTTCGTTAAAATGTAGATCTATTGAAGCAAAACACATACCGTTTGGCTCACATGTACGCCGATTCTGCCGACGATGTGTTGTTGTTTGAATGCGATTCCGACCGAACCATCAAAATGCTTGAAAATCAGTACTCAAACAAACTTCAAGATTCTGTGCAGACATATCTCACAACACACGACAGTTTCCCAGCATTTCTCGCTTCCCTTACACTCGAACTCTTCCACAAACAAACAATTGTCTCATGAATTGGTTGACAGAAATGTTTTTAATTTTTTGATAAAACAATAATATTCTTTATATTTGCTGACAATATATTTATTTAAATATCGATTAAATATTCATAAAAATGTTGAAAAGTAGTTCTTTGTATTATTAATAAAACAATTAGTCTTCGGGTTCAGACTTTTGGAGTCCTTTTTGTAAGAGTTCTATCAAAATAGGATAAACAGAAGCAAATGATTTGCCCTCAGATTGACGGATAATCGGAAGAATGTCACCACAAGATGAAGGCATTAGAGAATAGTTTTAATGAAATAAAAGCCATGAAAGACAAAGAGGTGGAGATTGTGGAGTCGATGGACACTTCGCCCGACGCGAGCACAACAGTCACGCCTACTGTTTATCGTGTCATTCATTTCAATCAAAACCCAATCGCAGTAAATGTTGAGAAACATAACGAAGAATTCAAACGACTCGTCGATGAGAACCAAAAACTGTTGAATAGAATCGTATCGTTAGAGTCGGGATCAGAAGCAGACGTCAGTAATAAACTTGAAGAAGGCATCAAAAACAGCCAAGAATTGGAAAAACTGAAGAAAAAATTGAGTTTTGCTGAAAAAAGTCGGCAAAAGATTATCGACGCCTTTAAGGAGTATTTAACGGGTGTTAATGAGTAAAGAGTTCCGAGACGTTTGCTATCGTTTAACGGATTTTTGAATCGGTATTTGTTTTATTTTAGAAATGATTCTTAAATTTTAAATAACACTTTGTTTGCAATTTTGTTAAAATATAGATCTATTGAAGCAAAACACATACCTTTTGGCTCACATGTAAATTTACACCGATTCTGCAGAAGATGTGTTATTGTTTGAATGCGATTCCTATCGAACCATCAAAATGCTTGAAAATCAGTACTCAAACAAACTTCAAGATTCTGTTCAGACATATCTCATATTTCAAGAGTCCATTCTCTCCTTAAACCAGACAATGACTGAACGGCAATGACAAACACTATTCGCGTCAAACATCAAACATTATTTCATTCAATTCAGTGATAAATTAACATCAATTCAAATCATTTTCTTAAATCAAACAATAAATGTGTTTTCAAATACGCGATTATAACTCTGAGACCCTCATATGGTAAAAGTAAAATAATTTATTTCATTGTATAACATGTCCTTACATTACATTACATTAAATTAAATTATTGTTCAAACATATAATAACTAATGTATAATTATTTTAATAAAAACAACATTTGAATATGTTTTGCCATTGTTGGTCAGCAAACCCCCGAACATATGACACATTTTCTATATGATTTTTATAGAAATTTGTTTCTCGTGTATTTTGCAAGGCTGTTGGCCGATGTGAACCATGTATAGTAAGCATTATTGGAATCAATATGAATGGGTTTGGTAGTTACAAAGATTCCAGTCCCGATACCATAGCTACCAAAATGTACTCATCCGATAATTATAACCAAATAACCAAACTAAAGTTATTTAGGACACCCATGTTAATTATATTGGCTCAACATTGTATTGATTGCGTAGGCATACAGTGAATAGACTAAATTTATTTGGGATTGCTTAAAAGCCATGAGCAAAAGCTAAAGGTCAACAAAATCAATTTTTATACCATTTTTGAATTGAAAAATCAACCAAAAAGTAAGGTTGAAAATAAATATCAAAAAATGTTTAAAGACAAGTCATATGAAATCCACACAATCCATGCCCACAACTACATTAGGGTGATGTATACCCTCTTAAAATTACCACCGATACCATCACTTCTATTGTCTGTAATGGAAATGTTATTAAAAGTTGGCGAAGCACTCAAATTTAGTGTGCCTTTGTTTTTTGCCCCAAAATCAAGTTAATTCTTGGGATAAAAAATTTAAAAATTTGATGATATATTGGGAGATAGTTAATAGTTATTATGGGTATTATAACTTTAATCGAAGTTAATTAGTCTAAGAATAAAACAGACTTTAACTTGATAACATTGGACGTGACAATTACTTGTGTCGACTAATATATCAAGAAGAATATGCGGCACTCGTGTGTTCTTTCAAGTGTTCACTACTTTTATCATTTGGTAATCCGTTATTAGATGTGGTTTTTGTAAAATTACGACTAATATGCGATTCAATGTGTTTATCAATCAAGTCTTTAGCGATAATCACTTTCATTATTTCATTGGTTCCCTCAAGGATTCGATGAACTCTCGTATCTCTCAATAGCTGTTGAATCGGATAATCCTTTAGATATCCATAACCTATATATACACATCAATTGATAGCATTTGATTTGTGTTAAAAAGGTATTAACATAAAGTTTATGTCATAAACATTCCCTAAATATAAATGATTTAATAAATACCTCCAAAGAGTTGAAGACATCGGTCGATGATATTATGGCACCGATCTGTGGCCAGAAATTTAGACATCGCGCACAACGAACTGACCGGAATGTGTGAGTCATTGGTATCACTGCCCGACTGTTTGTCATCCATGGCTTTGGCGGCCATTCGTACGGCTAATCGACATGAGAGCAGTTCCGAAGCCATTGTCGCCAATTCGAAGCGAGTGTTCTGGAAGTCAGCGATCGGTTGACCGAATTGTTTGCGATCACATGTGTATCGAAGTGTCTCTTCGAGAGCCCATTGCGCGCCCCCTAAAGAACAGGAGGCGATGTTTACGCGACCGCCGTTTATACCACTCATTGCTATATTAAAACCAATGCCTTCGCTGCCCAAGAGGTTACGCGCCGGTACTTTACAGTCTTCTAGTATGACCTGTCGGGTGGGCTGACTATTCCAACCCATTTTACTCTCTTTATGTCCAAAACTGAGTCCTTCGCTGCCCTTCTCGACCATAAGACATGAGATCCCTTTGGCTCCGACGCCACCCGTTCTGCACATTACGAGAAATACATGACTCTCTCCGCCACCGCTTATAAAACTTTTAGTTCCGTTCACTTTTAAAAAACAAAATTATCATTAAATTTGCTTTCGTTTTATTTGTGCAAAAATCTTACAAATATAATAATCTTTAACTTTTTGAGCTCTGGTCTCAAGATTCGCGGCATCGGAACCGGCGTTCGGTTCTGTAAGACAATAGGCGCCGATCTTTTTCATTGAAACCAAATCGGGAATAAATGCGTGCATTTGGTCATCATTACCGAAGTGGGCGATCATTGCGACCACCATATTGTGAATGGATAGGAGAGCTGTGGTGGAGACGCATCCCTGTGCCAGAGCCTCGATCACAATACTTGTGTCCAGTCTTGAGAGACCGGTTCCGCCCTTTTCGGTGGGTGTGTAGAGACCGCCGAAACCCAATTCCGCACTTTTGCGCAACTTATCGATAGGAAGCCATTCATTTTGATCCCATTCCCGCATATGTGGCCGAAACTCATTCAAACTGAACTGATAGGCCATCTCTTGTAGTTGTCTTTGTTCTGCATTTAAACCAATCGATGCGTCGATTAATGTATTGCGAGAGTAATTGCTATAATTTTTGGTCAATGTTTGGCACAAATATTTGCCACAATTTCTTCCAACTAATATTGAAAACATTTTTTCACTTTTTATAAAATATTAGAATTTGCATCAATTTGTAGCAAATATTTCTAAATATGTTTTGCTTTTTGTTGTTCACAATTGAGAGTGAAATGAACAATACTTTAAAAGTTTGCATTCAATGCCAGACCCTAAGAGTTGTGTGTTGTTTAACTATTGATCAAAGTTTCAATGTGTCTTATCGGAACTTTACTTAAAGCTTTATGAAATGTAAATTCATAATTTAAGTTTTAATTTAAGTTTACTTACGTAGCTATGTCGGTAGCGAATCATATATTTTGTTGAATCAAACCTTTAAACAAGTGGTTATTTTGTCCACAATTCTGGTCATTAGATATCATGGTTTGAATTTAACATAATTTCAATACACTATTGGATGCTTGCGAACACATGTGTCATATACTACCCCCTGTTTACCCCATTTATAGACTAAATCTGTGATAATATAATCAGTCAAAAGTGTTAACAGTACAACAAATTGATAACTAGTTTCAAAGTTACACAGAATAGCCTTGAAATGAATTTCGAAATACTTTACATTTAAGTATTAAATTCAAAATTAAATTCAAATGAATGCATCGATACAGCCATCGCTTATGTTTGAATTTAACATAATTTCAATACACTATTGGATGCTTGCGAACACATGTGTCATATACTACCCCCTGTTTACCCCATTTATAGACTAAATCTGTGATAATATAATCAGTCAAAAGTGTTAACAGAAGCAGACATTACTGGGAAATGCCTTTCATATCAANGTTTGAATTTAACATAATTTCAATACACTATTGGATGCTTGCGAACACATGTGTCATATACTACCCCCTGTTTACCCCATTTATAGACTAAATCTGTGATAATATAATCAGTCAAAAGTGTTAACAGAAGCAGACATTACTGGGAAATGCCTTTCATATCAAATATTGTACTTAATTTTACTTTTATTCACTTTTAATTTACTTTTAAACATTTGATTACAACATAAAAACTAATTTTAAAAAGTTATCAAAAACTTTGAATGCGAAACCATTGGCAACCAAAACAGTGATCACTGATTGGCTGTAATGTAAGCCAATAAGCGTCGAGTCAAACGATTTCTCAATACATAAACTGTAAACAAGTATTGACTGAATTGTGGACACAATTAGTGCTTTGGAAATGCAGTCAAACCAAGACTTTCGGTCACGACTACCGCTCCCGAAGTCGGTGTTCAAGTCGGCCATCGCTCGACCCATCACTTCAGGCCTCCCTGTCTTGCGGACCACATCCACGTGTGTTAAGCCCAGACATGTGTCGACCACTGCATTGCAAAGTGGACTCCGAGTTCGGGCGCATCCATACCTGTCGGCCACTAATACCCGCACCATATCTGGCGTCCGAACCACAGGTCTTCTCACCACTTGTGTTGACCCACAAGTGGTCACTCGACTCGACTTCGATGTCGAGAACAGAAGACAATCGACTCTGAGTTCGCCGCAAGATATGAATAAATGCTTGAATGCCTCGAAGGCCTCCAAAACGACGAGTCCTGCCATTGACTGGAATTCAATCACTAAAGAGTCGGAAGTAATGGCACTGAAGACACACATCACTAAATTGGAGACACTTTTAGACGTGTCAAACGATTTCTCAATACATAAACTGTAAACAAGTATTGACTGAATTGTGGACACAATTAGTGCTTTGGAAATGCAGTCAAACCAAGACTTTCGGTCACGACTACCGCTCCCGAAGTCGGTGTTCCAGTCGGCCATCGCTCGACCCATCACTTCAGGCCTCCCTGTCTTGCGGACCACATCCACGTGTGTTAAGCCCAGACATGTGTCGACCACTGCCGCGCAAAGTGGACTCCGAGTTCGGGCGCATCCATACCATCCATATCTGTCGGCCACTAATACCCGCACCATATCTGGCGTCCGAACCGCCGGTCTTCTCACCACTTGTGTTGACCCACAAGTGGTCACTCGACTCGACTTCGATGTCGAGAATAGAAGACAATCGACTCTGAGTTCACCGCAAGACGTGAACAAATGCTTGAATGCCTCGAAGGCCTCCAAAACGACGAGTCCTGCCATTGACTGGAATTCAATCACTAAAGAGTCGGAAGTAATGGCACTGAAGACACACATCACTAAATTGGAGACACTTTTAGACGNTCTGAGTTCACCGCAAGACGTGAACAAATGCTTGAATGCCTCGAAGGCCTCCAAAACGACGAGTCCTGCCATTGACTGGAATTCAATCACTAAAGAGTCGGAAGTAATGGCACTGAAGACACACATCACTAAATTGGAGACACTTTTAGACGAAACTAAATTCAATAATTCGCACAAAAGTGTTGAATACGAGCTTAAGATCGAAACACTGACCAAAGAGTCCGAAAGACACGCAAATCGTTGTTTGGATTTTGAGAAACAGATAAAAGTGATTGAATTGAAATCAGAGGAATCGTGTCTTCAGTTGTCTAATGCGAGGGAAGAGTTCGGCAGAGAGTATGAGAAATATGAGAAAACCATNTCCGAAAGACACGCAAATCGTTGTTTGGATTTTGAGAAACAGATAAAAGTGATTGAATTGAAATCAGAGGAATCGTGTCTTCAGTTGTCTAATGCGAGGGAAGAGTTCGGCAGAGAGTATGAGAAATATGAGAAAACCATTAATGATTTGAACAAAACTATCGCTGATTTACGGAACCAATGGAGTGATAACGAGGCGGCCATTGGTTCGGTTGAGGCGAGACATCGGTCGCAAATGGTCTCAGTTGAGCATCAAATCCAATCACTCGATGACAAAGTGAGTCAATTGTCCGAAGAAAGAGAATTCCTTAGAAAACATATCCAACGAATGGAATCGGAGGCCAAAAACAATGAACAGATCGAAGCGGAGCTGAAGAATGCAAAAGTGGACATATGTTTGCTTAACGAAGAGCTCAACGCATACAAAGATGGCATCAAATTAAGTGATATTCTCAACAATGAATTACAGGAATTGAAAGAATTACGCCAACAGAATGTGGAACTCATGAGGAGTAACCAAACGCTAACTGATGTCCACTCGAAGAATGTTTTACTCGAAGAGAAGATAATTGGATTAGAAGTTGAATTAAATGAACGAAATCAAATCGTTGTTTGGATTTTGAGAAACAGATAAAAGTGATTGAATTGAAATCAGAGGAATCGTGTCTTCAGTTGTCTAATGCGAGGGAAGAGTTCGGCAGAGAGTATGAGAAATATGAGAAAACCATCAATGATTTGAACAAAACTATCGCTGATTTGCGGAACCAATGGAGTGATAACGAGGCGGCCATTGATTCGGTTGAGGCGAGACATCGGTCGCAAATGGTATCAGTTGAACATCAAATCCAATCACTCGATGACAAAGTGAGTCAATTGTCCGAAGAAAGAGAGTTCCTTAGAAAACATATCCAACGAATGGAATCGGAGGCCAAAAACAAGGAACAGATAGACGCGGAGCTGAAGAATGCAAAAGTGGACATATGTTTGCTTAACGAAGAGCTCAACGCATACAAAGATGGCATCAAATTAAGTGATATTCTCAACAATGAATTACAGGAATTGAAAGAATTACGCCAACAGAATGTGGAACTCATGAGGAGTAACCAAACGCTAACTGATGTCCACTCGAAGAATGTTTTACTCGAAGAGAAGATAATTGGATTAGAAGTTGAATTAAATGAACGAAATAATCGACTGAAAGAAGTGATGGAAACTGACTTAGAGGTGACTGAACTCAGACGACGATTGGCTGAATGGCAGGAATTATTGGCCAATCGATCGCCTATTGATGTGAACAACCAATTAAGTGATGTGCAGAACAATGAGATCGTTGTTCGCACAGAATTGGCATCACTTAAGACACAACTCAATGATATGACAGCAAAGAGAACACAATTAGAGTGCGATCTGAAGAGCACTCAAAATGAATTACACGAACGAAACGAAGCCATTAAAAAACTGAACCGAAAGTGTCTTCTATTCGCTAAAGAAAAAGACAGTTATAAACAACTCATCACTTCTTATGTATGAAATTGTTGTCATTTTTTACTTTCTTTGAATTAATATTAATTTATTTGACACTAAGGAACACGACGTGACTCTCGATTGGAACAAAGTATCCAAAGACAGGATTTCCAGCTTAGAGTCCATTGTCGATGAATATCGCCATTTTGTGGAACAGTTAGAAACAGAGATTAAATCACTGAAGAATGGGGAGGAATCGGAAGAATGTCACCACAAGATGAAGGCATTAGAGAATAGTTTTAATGAAATAAAAGCCATGAAAGACAAAGAGGTGGAGATTGTGGAGTCGATGGACACTTCGCCCGACGCGAGCACAACAGTTACGCCTACTGTTTATCGTGTCATTCATTTCAATCAAAACCCAATCGCAGTAAACATTGAGAAACATAACGAAGAATTCAAACGACTCGTCGATGAGAACCAAAAACTGTTGAATAGAATCGTATCGTTAGAGTCGGGATCGGAAGCAGACGTCAGTAATAAATTCGAAGACGGCATCAAAAATAGTCAAGAATTGGAAAAACTGAAGAAAAAATTGAGTTTTGCTGAAAAAAGTCGGCAAAAGATTATCGACGCCTTTAAGGAGTATTTAACGAATGTTAATGAGTAAAGAGTTGCGAGAAGTTTGCTATCGTTTAACGGATTTCCGAATCGGTATTTGTTTTATTTTAAAAATGATTCTTAATTTTTAAATAACACTTTGTTTGCAATTTTGTTAAAATATAGATCTATTAAAGCACAACACATACCGTTTGGCTCACATGTAAATTTACACGGATTCTGCCGAAGATGTGTTGTGTTTGAATGCGATTCCGACCGAACGATCAAATGCTTGAAAATCAGTACTCAAACAAACTTCAAGATTCTGTGCAGACATAACTTATATTTCAAGAGTCCATTCTCTCCTTAAACCAGACAATGACTGAACGGCAATGACAAACACTATTCGCGTTTCACGTCAAACATTATTTCATTCAATTCAGTGATAAATTAACATCAATTCAAAGCATTTTCTTAAATCAAACAATAAATGTGTTTTCAAATAATTTATTATTTTCGTACTAAATATCGCTAAAGATTTATATTTAAGATTTACAATGAGTATCGAAAATGATTATTCATTAATCAAAAAATGGGTTAAATATTAACCAAAAACCCATAACTATAACTAATTATAAAATGTTGTTTCTTATAAATAGTTACGTAATATTACATCAAATAAGTACATCTTATATGTTATTATACCAATTATACCAAGTTATTTAATAAAATCTCATATGATGATATATTGGGAGATTGTTGATAGTTAGTATGGGTATTATAACTTTAATTGAAGTTAATTAGTCTAAGAATAAAACAGACTTTAACTTGACAACATTGGACGTGACAATTACTTGTGTCGACTAATATATCAAGAAGAATATGCGGCACTCGTGTGTTCTCTCAAGTGTTCACTACTTTTATCATTTGGTAATCCGTTATTAGATGTGGTTTTTGTAAAATTACGATTGATATGCGATTCAATGTGTTTATCAATCAAGTCTTTAGCGATAATCACTTTCATTATTTCATTGGTTCCCTCAAGGATTCGGTGAACTCTCGTATCTCTCAATAGCTGTTGAATCGGATAATCCTTTAGATATCCATAACCTATATATACACATCAATTGATATCATTTGAATTGTATTTAAAAAAGTATTAACATTCCCTAAATATAAATGCTTTAATAAATACCTCCAAAGAGTTGAAGACATCGGTCGATGATATTATGGCACCGATCTGTGGCCAGAAATTTAGACATCGCGCACAACGAACTGACCGGAATGTGTGAGTCATTGGTATCACTGCCTAAAAGTAGTTCTTTGTATTATTAATAAAACAATTAGTCTTCGGGTTCAGACTTTTGGAGTCCTTTTTGTAAGAGTTCTATCAAAATAGGATAAACAGAAGCAAATGATTTGCCCTCAGATTGACGGATATTCTTCACATAAGACTCCAATGAATTCCTTCGAATAACAGTAAAAATGAAATTAAAATAATTACATAAATATGAAAAGCATTCGATTAATTACTTAATTAAAGCAATCCTTTGGGACTCATCCAAGTGCTCGTCTAACCATTTATTATACCTCGTGAGCGACCAATTCATGTATTGATGGCTACTCTTGATGTCATTCGGAGCGTAATTAGAGATCAAGAATTCAAGAATAAGAGAATACGGAATGAGATCTCCGACGGCACCCGATTTGGCAATGGATTCGGCGCTTTGGAAGAGCAATGGCTTGAATGAGCGCAGAATACGGTACTGACGGCCCAGACGTCCGATAGGATTACAGAGCGGTGTTAACGCCATTTCCAACTGCGCGAAGTCGGCAGCGATTCTCATGCGACCCCTTTTCGATAGCGGTCTTATTAGTGTTATTTGTCTTAAAAACAGTTGAATCGTACGGTTGGCCACTCTATCCGTACTAAACATTATTAGTAAATAAAATCATTTTTAAAATTAGTCTTTCATATGATTTATATAAATACGAAATATTAGTAGAAATAATATAAATGTAAGAATAATCTAAACCAATGTTGTGTGACATCACAGTCAGGATATTGTTGTAAATAATTGGATGAAATTCTGGCGATAAAGTGTTGCAATTCCTTCATATACTCTGAGGGCCGGACTTCACTGTTAGTATTCAAATCCCCTTCACTTAAATAAAAGCAAACATTAAAACCAAATTAAATTGTCATTAATATATAATATTCAATACTCGCTATAGTTTTCCGAATGCATTGTCAACAGAATTGCTTCGATGGCATCGGTTATGCTCTCGAAGAATGGATTCAATGTATTAAACATCAGGTTCTCGATGGGAAACAACGATTGCTCAACTAGTTTAAGACAATCGATGGGACAGTTGGAAGTGACCAAAAGTTTATTGATTTTCATGCGAAACATCTGCAATCTGTCCACAATCGCAGCATTTAGTCTTTGGCTGGGAGTGAAGGGACCGATCACTTGAGTTGAGTGACCATCAGTTGAGTTGAGTTGTTCGCACTTTTGGACAAACAAATTGATAGTTTTGGTCACATTCTTGGCCACAGATTGGCATAACATGTGGTCAACAGCGCTGGCGTGCAATTCAGTTGAAATGTGTCTTATGATGAGATCGATGTCCTTCTCTGAGGGAACATTTGCTGTATATATAGACTCAGCGTTTGGATTAAGTGACGGCTCTTTTGCGTCGGCAAACACTTTGTTCACCGAATCAAAGAGAAGAGAGAGGGAACGGGAGAGGTATGCGCTCTCAAAGGCTTGCATCGATGATCGCAACACTTTCTCTGCATTGATGTCTTTGTGGTCACGAGAGATACGTTTCCAGAGTTCGCTAAAAGAGTTTAAATAATTAGGATATTCTGTTTCGAGCGCCTGTCGTATGGTTTGAGAATCGTTGGCCACTTTGCAGAGCTGTTCCGACAATGTTTTGGTCACAAAAGTCCAGAAATGATTGAGTCCTTCGCTATCGGTTTGATTCAATTGATCGATAAGACAAGAGTTGGTTAAAGTGTCTCTCCTCTTCTTAACTAATCTGTAAATTAAACTGATTTGACTGAAAGTGTTGTATATATTATCAATAAGTGTCTCAATGTTTTGTCGAAGTGTTGACCGAAGAGAGCTGTTCTGTGCGATAGTCATTGGTATGACAACTCTTCCGGGACCTGAACTCCGGTTTTGATTCAAAGCGGACACATCTGTCGCTTCATTCACTGCTTTCCTCATATACTCCTGTTTTTCATCAATAATTTGGCGAATCTTTTGGTCTAAAATTCTTAAACTATAGTAAACCTGAAGAGCGGAACCCAATTGATTGCTGTCTTGTTCTGCCAGTCCTATAGAGAAGAGTTGATCCGCACTTATGATGAGTGTATTTCTCACTCCGACAACACTTTTCAAGTCATCTCTGATTACATTGATTTTGTTAAGCGAGCCGTTAGTGTCTTCGTTGACAATGGAATCGATTTGTGAGATATATTGAGCCGTTTTAGTGAGTTGTCGGGCCATCAGTGGTCCGTCTGTGGCATCAAATCGGTTGTCATTCAAGCGTTTAATCAAATGAATAATACGTATCGTTCGCCGCAATAAATCACATGTCTTTTGGAGACGATTTAAAACCACAATCTGTTGACAAATGCGATCGTAAGGGTCCACGAGTTTGGACCTAATCTTATAAACGGCTGTTAATAGGCATTCAATTCTGGTTTGGATCACACGAAGCACTTCCTCCAAAGTGTCCATTTTGTTCAATTCGGACAATAAGTCTTCGTATTTGTCACAAACCAAAGAATGCAAACTCTTATTCAATAAATCGATTCCATTTGTTATCTTAATTATCTGCTCATTGATTGTCAATCCATGCAATGATGTGATAATCTTTGAGTCAAAATTTTCACACATAAACTGTTTGTACGTTTGATCAGACATTAACTGTTGGATCAAATGGTCTGAAGTGTCAAAAACACTATTCATATTAATTGTTTGAATTGAAGTCATGTTAACACTGTTTTGGGCACTCATTGTGTAAATCACTTACAGTTTAATTGAGAAAATACTCACAAATTGTTACAAATTGTCTGTCAATCAAAAGAGTTAAAGAAATGCACAAAAAGTGTTCAAAAGAAAAGTCAATAATAGATGAATGAATGGATTATTGGATCAATTGGTGGACCGAATGGGAGGCGAGACGAGGATAATGGCGTCGCCTCTGACGAAAAGCATCGGAATATTGCGTTTGTCTGTCTTATACACCTCTTCATACGTCTCCTCATCGATCTCAACAGTGGTCACGCATTCCTCGACATCGCTTAAAATCATATTCAAGTGCTGGTCGTAGGCGTGAAGACGACCTCTGAGTTCCCTTTCGTTCCTCATCTTCACGTAAATCCTTTCATCTAAACTCAAACGAATCAAATCCAACGGTTCCTCAACAGTGACCGGAACCGACTGTTTGGCCATAAAATACAATCAATACATGTATTACACGTGAAATGAATGTCAAATACCGGTTCAGTTTCGTCGGCCATCACTCGCCGGTCGACCGATTGTCTCGTTATTCAAATGGCAGACAATCTTATTGTCTCTCAACTAATCCTGAATTAGATTTAATTTGAAAAATACTAACAATTTATTGAATGAAATACAAAATCAAATGATTATTAAATCATAAAAACAGTTAACAATGACTACAGAAATGATACAAAAACGACAAATATTCACGTTTTGGTCGATTCATAAACAACGCTATCTTTTGCACAATTATTGGCTTTGAATGCAAAGAATGCACAGAATATGAAGAATATTCTGAATAGGCTTTTGTTGCAATCAATTGAAACTAATTTACAATTAACTATAAGTGAAACACAATGAATACCGATGGGTAACCACATGGTCGTGACCATGGACATGCTCGTGGTTATGATCATGGTACTTTTAACATATTCAAACTATTAAATTGCTTATTTAAATTGAATCAAATGTTTTGTTAGAGATATTAATATTCATATGTTTAGTTCAAACAGAGACTCATTAGAAGTTTGATAGAGATATACATTTGAGGTCCGATTTGTGGTCTACTTTGTGGTCAGAATAGGAAGGAATAAATGTAATGATAAATGAATTTGAATGTATGGGACGGGCGTATAGTTGTGTGAAATGGATGGCTGAGAGGGCCGTACAGATCATTGAACCGAAACCATACTAAAGCAGACACTTCTGTGCGCATCGGTTAGACTGCAAGCCATTAGACATATAAGTGCTGTCTATCAATGATTACCGTCGAGTTTGGGAAGCATTCATGCATTCAATTAACTCTTAAATATGGAAAAACTGAATACTAAATAAAAACAAGATTTTGTAATAAAATAAGCTTTCAATTGATTGGTTCGTCAGTAGAAGATTTTAAAGCCAAAAGTTTGTAAAACAATTTGATTTTTTTGCCGTCAAAATGTCTGCATTCAGTAGAAATTGTAAGCAATTTGTGTTCATTTAATTGTATTCATTGTTAATGTTGTGTGACTTAACATAATGTCAACGACTGACAGATACAACACTTTGTATTGTATTCATCGCAAAACATTACAAAGTCTTACATAAAAACTTTCTTCGATGAAAATATTATATTTAAACTTTGACTAAACAATCATAATATTATCATCTCTTAATTCATATGTGTTATAACTAATAGTTTATAAATTGTTTTAATTAAAACAAATGATTTTTTATTTTAAAAATCGGACAATAGTTTGAGAGATGAGTGCTTTTATAGTTTGGATAAGTAGTGCAATGGTGTGTGTGTTGGGAGTGTTGGGTCAGTCAATACACAAGCAATTCATATCAAAGATAGTGCGGGACAGCAATGGAGACCTCTTTACCATCACATCTGATGATTGTCTCAATTCTGGTTGCGATCAAAATACAAGACTCGCGACACCCGTTGCGGTCAACTCGTGTCGATGTCGTTGTCATCAATCGTATCCTGTTTTCAGAGATGACCGCAAAGACTGCGTTCGCGACTTATTTGGTATTTAATGAATTTTGCACTTTATTATCACATTATCTTATATGTTCACTAATATTATATGAATTACATTACATGTGTATTATTATTATTATTAAAGTTGAGACAAATTATAATCTATTAACTATTCTAATACTCATGAATCATGATAATCTGATAATTCTTATATTGTTTGTCTGAACTACAAATATTATAATTACAGTTAATTGAATATAAATAACATTTTTAAAGTATAAAATACTTAATTATTTACATAAGTATTTTAACGCATAACGACATTAATATTGGAATATTATATAGGAAGTCATAATATTTGTATTTTAGTATATATATTAATATTAAGAAAATTGTAAACAAAAATTAATTATAGTTATGCAATAACAAGATTTGTATAGAAGTATAAAAAGTGGTAATAAATTTTAATGATGCTAACAATAATGTTCATAGCAAACCATGAAAGCTGACAATTTTATAAGAATCGTGTCTAACAGTAAAATATGTTAAAATAATGTGAACTATTATAATCCTGTAATTTTTAAAAATAATAAAATTTGTAAAATCTTGTAAATAGATTGTCCTTTGGTTGCATTCATTCGACCGAATGTGATAGAGAGGATACCAGTGGTCAGTCTACCCGTATCGTCCGGACAACTTGTACATCCCGGTGCACACCTCACTCTATCAGGTCAATACATTTATTACAACATTCTCCTTAAAATATTTTATAAAATATTTTTTTAGAATATATTATTTATTAAATGCTATGGAATAATAATTATTGTTAAAGTCACAACTGTATCCATTAATATAAATGAACTGTATAACTTATACAGTATAAGAAACAATACAAGATCATGTAGATTAATTGGAGATACAATAATGGTAAAATAGCACCATTGCAAATCTATCTAATCTATAACAGCCATCAATATTTACTGTATTTACTGTATATTGTTGGAGAATTTTAAGTAAAATATAGTTTATATAAAATGAAGATTAGGGTGGAATAAAATCAATGTTTAAATGTATTTAAATTTTCAATGTTAAATAGTGGAAAATAATGTGACAAACAATTTGAATGAAAAAATGCTACGATTTGGTTGAGAAGTGAAGCATAAATTGTTGTTAATATTTTTGCTAAAGGCATTCAATTGATTGAGATTTTTTCCGGTGTACTTCCGGTAAATGACACTTAAATGAGAAATTGTTTATAAAACTTATACATATGTATTAGTTATATTTTATTACTTATGAATATTATAATTGTATCACTTTGTTATCAATTGCTATTTTGTATTCTTTAATTTAATTGGATGTATAGTCAGTTTGATTTGCATTCGTTTGAATACAGTATGAGTTGTAAAAATGAAACATTCTAAAGTATTGTATTAAACATTGGGTTAATTTATAATGAAAATTACATAATGAGCAATTTGATTAACTTTAAAAAGCCTACATTAATTATTTATTAATTCTACAAATGTTATACCGAATCAATAAATATACATTAATAATACATTTTTGTAATATTCTAACAAAAAATGATGATTTAATAAAAATTTAATAAATAATTGTGGGACAGATATGACAGGTGTGGGCAACGATTCGAGCAAACAATTATTTTGTCGAACAGATGGCTCACATGTGATGACATGGAAAGGATGGCAAAAGATTGTCAGCGATTCCAATGTATTTGAACTTTTTGAGGACACAAACCATACATTTCTGCAATGGTTTGGCAATGATTTTGTGCGCAAAAGTCTTCACCAGAAACTGGTCTTAATTCGCTTGACGTGCACTTCAATGGTTGGAAATGTTGTCTATAAACCATGTATTTCTATAAGAGTCGGTTCAGTCCCCGGATTAAAGCTTTCATTTCATATCCTGACTGCCAGTGAAAACTCTTTTGTCACGACAGAAGACTCCGATAAAGAGCTCGACTCTCATAATAACTACTCATTAATAGGCATTTGTTTGGGTTTATTGGGTGTGATGTATGTCTCGGCGCTAATGATTTACTTGAGAAACAAGAATTCACAACATATTAAGCCCAATGAACGCACAAATTGTCGTTCGTTTCACTCGTCACCCATTGATGCAAATACTGAATCCCATATAAACCCAGACTATTGTCCCGAAACTCAATTATCCGATCAAATAAACCATTCATTTAATAGAAATGTTGAGTTGAATGAGGAATCGGTTGAAAAAGAAGATACACTTATAATTCATAACAATGTAATTAAGAATTACTTTTTTTTAATTATATCTCACAATTAATTACTTAATTTTAGACACTCTTTGACGACTCAGACGAAAGAATTTATCAAAGCGTTGGAACTGCAGGAGTGGACAAGAATTTGATTCCTCGACATAATGTTAATGACCAGAAAACACGACAAACACGGGAACGACTTCCGAGACAAGTGCTCAAAATAAATCCCGAACTCTTTGAACCGCAACACCTCTTAGAGCCGCCGCCGACTGCCATAGAACTGCTTCAAAGAATTAGAGAACTCATAACAATAGCAAAGGGAAGAATAAAAAATTTTCGCTTTCGTCCGACTCTTGTAGTTATACCAGAAGACGACTATTTCTATAATGATTTTTCTATGAATTGGGAATTCAATGATAATACAAGACATGAAACAGATGTTCAACTTAGTTGTCATAATTGTATAGATTTTGATCAAAACTTATCACATATTGAATTATATCCCTATAATTCGCAATCAATTAATCAAAATATAAATATAGACAACAATACAGAATCAACAGAATATGAAACAAAAAGTAATATTCTTTACAATAAAAATCCAATAAATATAGAGAAGGGATCAGATGTGACAAAACAAGTCATTCATGACAGAGAATATTGGAATAGTGTTAACACATCAACGATACCAAAACTGCAGATCAATTCCAGATATGGTATGAATAGTAGACCTCACGAAGAATTATCATTAGAAACAGCAAATGTGAGCTCATTTTCAGACCGTACACACAATGCATATTCTCGGCATTATTCACACATGTCTGCGGAAACTCTTGGAAATGAGTTTAGAGATCAGATTCCAGATAAACGAATGTTTAGATATTTGAAGAATTCGTTGGGAAAATTGAATACTAAATCAAAGTATAGGAGAAGTAATATTTTGACACTAAATACTGCCGATAACTGGACTCTTAAGACAAGTTCATCTCAAAGTGAAAGTCCGGCGCAAAACAATTTGACGACAACATCAGTGCGGAATATGAGTCCCATTTGCAGCGAATCAACAAATGTAACCAATATTTACAATGATTTCAGAGATCCAAAGCCATCCCTTGAAAGCAATGAAAATAACGAATCGATAGTTAGTTATGATTGCAATACATTTAGCGATTCAGAAATGAGTACCACTTCGTCAGTGAAAGACAACAACCCTTTAACGTCTCTCGAGTCCATAGTATCTGAAATGAATGGATCCGAAGATTCGGTGGCAAATCATTGCTACCAAACTGTTTGCTCAAATGATTCCAGCGATGAATGCGCGACAGAAGATCACAACCCGATCGACGAATGTCTTAAGCATTTAGCCATCGCTCCAATCGATGCCAATCATACAAATCATGACAGATATTATTCAAGAATAGGTCGCGTGAGTAGAGGTATGTCTGCTCTCAATCACATCAACTCTAATCAATGGAATCATATTTGTGTCAAACGAGTTAACCCAGAGGTTTGAAGTCATACTTAATTGAGTCCATTCTCTATCTTCTCAAATAAGACAATGACTGAACGGCAGTGACAAACACTATTCGCGTCAAACATCAAACATTATTTCATTCAATTCAGTCATAAATTAACATCAATTCAAATCATTTTCTTAAATCAAACAATAAATGTGTTTTCAAATAATTTATTATTTTCGTACTAAATATCGCATAAGATTTATATAAATTTCAATGAGTATCGAAAATGATTATACATTAATCAAAAATGGGTTAAATATTAACCAAAAACCCATAACTATAACTAATTATAAAATCTTGTTTCTTATTAATAGTTACGTAATATTACATCAAATATATGTTATATTTATTTAATAAAAAGTATTGTGAGCTTTAAATAGAGAAATAGAGGTTTTGAGTTCATTAATAGCCGTAAATATGAACTTATTTTAAACTACTTATAAGAGTAATAAAACTAAACTGTTGTCAAATGAGAAATGAAAGGGAAAACAATAGTTTGTTTAACTGATTCCAGTGGTGACCGAAGACGCGATACCCGATTCGCTCTTCTTCTCCAAGTCTTTGATCTCAATTATATCGCTCTTGAGTTTGAGTTTAAGAATAATTCTGCAGATATCGTCCCTATGGGTGGCGTCACTGATGCCCATCCGCTCGAGTGTGCATTCAGTGATTCTGACCAGTGATCGGCCGGTGATCTCGTTCTCGAGGAATGCGTGTCCATAGAGTCCATAGTACTGTTCGCAGTGCCGTTTCAACCATTTCATCACATCTGCATTGTTCCAGAAGAAGACCGGTTTTGGACGTCGACTGTTACCACCGCTCACCTGACAGTTGGACCAATTGGTGATCTGTCCGGCGGTGGCTGTGCCTGAAGTGCCCGAAGACCAGACATAGTTATTGGTCACCTCTTTGGTCATCGTTTCCTTGAGTTGCTTTTGATTCCTCTAAACGTTTAGTCAGTCTTTCTTTTTCCGATTCAATCAAGAGTTGGATATTCTGTGCAAAAGAGACCACAAATTAGATGATTAGATGACAATAGTGTTAAATGAATGGATGTCTACATCGAGTGGTCTGTAGTAGTAATGGACTGTTTGAGAGCCCAAAAGCATTGCCAACAATGAAGAGCTCATATATAAGATATATTGAGACCATTTGAGGCCATAAGGCATTGCATTCACCGATAGATCAGTTGATAATCCAAACAATACTAACCGTGAATGCAATCAATGCTTTCAAACACAACCAAAACCTCATAAATAACGCATAGCTTTGCAATCATTCAAATGGATATTCAATTGAATCCATAGTTTGGACACAAATGAGACAATGTGTGGTCAAAGAGAGAACATATATATCATGTGATAAATACGGACCAATTGTTGCTGAAGTGTTTGTTGTGATAACTTTTGTCCGTAAATCTTGTAGAAGTTGACAGAATTGATGTCCAAATGTATCATAAGATACTCGACAACAGCTCCACAACAGAAGAAGAGGGGAAGGAATGCGTAAAACCCGAAGCGCTTCCTCAGTGGCCAACCGGTGATCACTCGCGACACAAGTCCTGATTTGCCGACCATTAGCTCTAAGACACAAATGTATGGCAATTGCTTTCAGACCAATTGAATCAATTGATGCCCTCTTTGTTTGTCACACAAAGTGTTCATAAATAGCGTAAACATGTATTGATTGACACATTTGTGCCAACAGTTTCTCTCAACCAAACGGTTCTAAATGTGAAACACTTCAACATTTAGCTTAAAAAGTATATATTTTAAGTATATATTTAACAATATTGATGAGAAGTGACCATGGTCATATGGTCATATGGTCATGCTAATACTAAAGTGCATTTAATCGCTAGTTTAATGAATAAGCAGTTATTATAACTGAAAACTTATTAAAACCGTAAACTCATAAAGTTTTGTTTAAATTTTAAAATATTTTATTCACAACTTTTTCTTAACAAATAATTGAATGTTATATGATATAACTTAATATAACAATATAACTTATATCTATTGATTACAATATTAATGGTTACATTATTACGATTTATAATAAAGCTGGAAATGTTGAAATAGTTTACTCATTAGTATAATATTGTGCCAACTGTCTAAAAGACAGTTTATTACCCAGCTTTACAGTTCATTTATAACTTTAAGAGTTTTAACTTATAATGATTTACATAATATACTTAATTTCAATATAATTACTAATTAATAATTAGATTAATAAATAATTAGATTACAATAAATTTATATAATTAGATTGTATTGCAATACAAACTAAAGAAATATATAAATAAATAATAAACGACAGAATAATTTACTGTATATTTAAAATGTAATGAAAAGTTATCGATAAGAAGCGATTGGTTTATAAGACTTTTTAGTAGTAGTGGTAGTCGTGGTAGGTTTGGGAGTTGTGGTCGATGTAGTGGTCTTCTTGTAATAATTGTATGACTTCTTGGTTGTGGTCCGGAGTGTTGTTGTAGTTATGGTTGCTTTAGTTGTGGTCGGAGTGGTTGTATAGGACCACATCCTGTACTTAGATTTACTTTTACCCGAATCTACAGACAATGTATACACCATTAATAGGATTACAATCCCGGCGCTGATAAACCAAATTCTTTTCATTGTTGTCAATAATCTGATTATAGGGAAAAACACAAAATCTAATCCCTAATAAATACCATTTAAGGAGTTTATATAGTATTTGTAACAAACATTTGTGTCATATATGGCAACAATTGATGATCTGTGATGACTAAATGATTCGCATAATTCATATAAATTGGGACAAACAGATCATAAAATATGATCTCAAAAACATTGTATTATATAAAGAAATTTTATTTATTTATTCAAAACCATTAGTAAATTACATAAAATATTGAAATATTTAATATTAAGGCAAATAATGAAGAGTTGGTGTGAATGAGAGTGGATTAGTCAATGTCTGGCTGTTCCTCGTCATCGAAGTCTCCGTCGTCCTCAGCGGTCGCCTCCTGGTATTGCTGGTACTCCGACACCAAGTCATTCATATTAGACTCGGCTTCTGTGAACTCCATTTCATCCATTCCTTCGCCGGTATACCAGTGAAGGAAAGCTTTTCGTCGGAACATAGCTTTGCAATGAATAACAAAGTTAGACAAACAAATTCAATAATACTTTAGTATAAAGCAAACAAACCGGTGAATTGCTCTGAAATGCGTTTGAATAGCTCCTGAATGGCAGTCGAGTTTCCTATAAAAGTGGCCGACATTTTGAGCCCTCGGGGAGGGATATCACAGACCGCTGTCTTCACATTATTGGGAATCCATTCGACGAAATAACTGCTGTTCTTGTTCTGAACGTTAAGCATCTGTTCGTCCACTTCTTTCATAGACATACGACCCCTGAATATAGTGGCGACCGTCAGATACCTGCCGTGTCTGGGATCACACGCGGCCATCATATTCTTGGCGTCAAACATCTGTTGTGTCAGTTCGGGAACAGTGAGAGCCCTGTATTGCTGTGATCCGCGAGATGTGAGCGGAGCGAAGCCGGGCATAAAGAAATGCAATCGAGGGAACGGAACCATATTTACGGCCAGTTTTCTCAAATCGGCATTTAGTTGACCCGGAAATCGGAGACAAGTGGTCACTCCAGACATTGTCACCGAAACCAAGTGATTGAGATCTCCATACGTAGGAGTCGTCAGTTTAAGCGTTCGGAAGCAGATGTCATAAAGAGCCTCGTTATCAATACAATAGGTTTCATCAGTGTTTTCCACCAATTGGTGCACTGAAAGGGTCGCGTTGTAGGGCTCGACCACTGTGTCCGACACCTTAGGCGATGGCATAACACTGAAGGTATTCATAATACGGTCGGGATATTCCTCTCGAATCTTGGAAATGAGAAGAGTTCCCATTCCAGAGCCGGTCCCTCCGCCCAGAGAGTGGGCCATTTGGAAGCCTTGCAAACAATCGCATCCTTCGGCCTCTTTGCGAACCACATCCAGAACTGTATCGACGAGTTCAGCGCCTTCTGTGTAGTGGCCTTTCGCCCAATTATTTCCGGCACCGCTTTGACCGAAGATGTAGTTATCGGGTCTGAAGAGAGCGCCAAAAGCACCCGAACGCACAGAATCCATGGTTCCGGGCTCTAAGTCCAACAAAATAGCTCGCGGCACGTATTTGCCCACTAAATACATCCAATACATCAACCATTAGTGACTAATTCACAATTCACTTCATTATTATTATTATTATTGTATTTCAATTCGTTTACAACTTTTACAACTCATTTATTGCTTTAATAAAGTTCTTAGAAATGAAAGTGAATTCAACCAAAATTGTCCATTTCGGACATCTATCACATTTAGTTTTGTCTATTGTTATTTGTAATAACTAGAGCTTTCATTTATCTTGAATCAAATCTAAGAAATGTAATCATTTGCATGTTTCAATTTTCCTATCAATTCCTATAAATCATTATATTTATCATTTAAATGAGCAAATAATTAGTTTAAATGCTCTGAATCTAAAATATTTCTATGGCAACAGTTGTCATAAAACAGACTTAAAGTTTTTTAAATATTCAAAAATAGGGAAAATGGACCCAATTTTTGGTTCAACATTTGTCAACTATTATAATCTACTAAATTATGTATTTCTCATTCAAATTCTCATTCCCAATCATTATATTGTCCCACAATCCCCGCCCATTATACAACTTTGTAGTTATTGAAACATGCAAATGATTACATTTCTTAGATTTGATTCAAGATAAATGAAAGCTCTAGTTATTACAAATAACAANGAGAGAGAGAGAGAGAGAGAGAGAGAGAGAGAGAGAGAGAGAATTAGATAAAGTATAGCACAAAAGTTAATAAAAATAGTTATAAAGTTGTAAATTTGCAAATAAGTATTAAACTAGAAAAGAAGTGGTGGGCGCGGGAGGGCTGGAGTGCGGATGTTATTAATTAAAACAATGATTAATGTATTTATGTGGTAAATCACCTCAAAGTGAGATCTTTAACTTTATATTAAAATTGATTTCCATATTAGGAAAGCGTTTAATGAATAGAGGACTACATGTCTAAAAATTGATGCAAAACTTGAAAAACAAGTCCTAAAGAGAGCATCAAATGAATGAAAATATTGAATGAATGGGTCGATAGAGTGGTTGATAGACTCATTTGATCCTTATTTGGTGATAGAAAGCACTGCCCACTCATTGCTCTCTTGTATGGACTGATGAGAACCCACTTCTCAAACAACCAAACATTTAGATCACAAATCAAACAACTCTTTGATTCATAGCTTTATTTGGCATTCATTTGATTGCCTTTTATGACAATTAGGACACGACTGACCGGAAGCCTCGTTGTAGTAGACATTGATGCGCTCCAACTGCAGGTGACTATCGCCGTGATAGGCGCCCGTCGGGTCGATGCCGTGTTCATCACTTATCACTTCCCAAAACTAGACAAACAAATCATTCATTAATATTAAGAGCATTGAATGCAATGACAAAGTGGTCACAAGTGGTCATACCTTAGCGCCGATCTGATTGCCGCACTGACCCGCCTGTATGTGAACTATTTCACGCATTGTCCACACAGTGTCCGCACAGTCTTCAGGTGTGTTGAGATGTCTCGACAGTTGTTGTGTTGAGTGCAAGAGTGGCTGATTTGGTGGTAAGTGTTGTTCACTTGAGTGAGTGATGTGTTTGTCGACTGAACCAGTCTTTCAAAGCCATTCAAACTTGTCTCACATCGAGTCACGTGAGCCGTGCGTTCAGCCAATGGCAGTCGAGTGGGAACTTCCACTCAAGAGCGACAATAATCGTATATTTGGGATCCGTTTACAAGACATTTGCCATTAATTCACTCATTATAACAATAAAAGACAATTTGATATCATTTCATACGATTTGTGTCCAATTGATTGCATAATCGCATAAACATAACCATCGGATCCCACGAAACACAAGACACTAATTGTGACTCAATTTAGACGTAATTCTTGTCATTTTGTGGTAAACAATGAAATGTAAATAAAGTGTCGATTATTTGAATGATTTGTTGTTAAGATTTGATTGCATTATAATTAGTGAACTGATTGTCAAGTATTGTAAATAATGACAAATTATATGCAAAACGAAAGACTCAAGAAATTGGATGCGATTGAAGGCCAGTTGTGTCAAGTGATGGTCAGCGCCTCCCAAGCCTTCCAAGAGCTGAGTAAAGACAAGCCCAGTATTAAACACGTGGAAACACAGACCACAGCCTTCTTGAAGGCCTTGGAATCGGTGGACAATGAGATCAGTAAACAAATCCAATACCTGTCACGTGTCTCGACAGGTCAGGCACACGAGGGGTCCAGTTATGCGTCGATGAAAGTGAATCACATGGCGTGGCATCGGTTGGAGCACTCGCGCACTCGACTCAACGATCTCGACCGCCTCAGACACCAACACCTCCTCCAATGCCAACAACACCAACAGCAGCAGCAGCTACTTCAACAACAACTACAACAACCATAAACAACATCACTACTGCTTAAATGTCTTTATTAGACAAATGATTATTTATTCTTCTTCTTCATGAGTCTGTTTGCCTCCAACTGTTGATTGTATTGTTCGATGAGGTGTTGTGTTAGGTCCGCTCTGGCGGGTGAGTAGCGGCAGTACTCCATAGTGTACTCTCCCTTTCCCTGAGTACTGGACCTCAATTCAGTGGCGAATCCAAACATGTCATTCAACGGCACCTTCAATGAGAACAATAACTTACAATACAATAACTTTTTTCAAATAAACGATTGATTACTTCAGCATTAATTGTGAACCAATTATTGGAGTCGTCGGTGGAGATGAGGACACCATTGCGTCGGGAGACCTGTCCGATGAGCTCTCCCTGATATTCGGAAGGACACGAAACCTCGACATTCATGATGGGCTCCAATACCTGCCATTTGCCCATATCATAGGTCTGACGCATAGCTCCCTGCGCTGCCAACACAAACGCTATATCATTGGAGTCCACGCAATGATGTTTGCCGTCTTGGAGTCGGAACTTAAGGCCAATGAGTTTGTGTCCACTGAGTGGACCCGTTTCGCACATCTGTTGGAATCCTTTTCTAATGGACGGCACAAAGTGTTTGGGAATATTAGGGCCCGAAGTTTCGTCAGAGAATATATTCTGTGTGTTTTGGTGGGGCGGCAACGGCTCCAGTATTCCCTGAACACAGCCGTACTGTCCGGCGCCTCCGCTCTGCTTCTTATGCAAGTAATCGAAAGGACACGACCGCACTATTGTCTCTCTGAACGCAACCTTAGGTTTTCCCAAAACTACGGGACAGTTATACTCCTTTTCCATCCTCTGGGCATAGATTTCGAGATGCAATTCACCCATTCCTGACACTACAGTCTCTTTACTCTCGTCGTCCCAATGGCTCCGAAAAGTGGGATCTTCTTTACAGAAACGATTGATTGCTTTGAGAAAGTTTTCCATCGAGTCTTTGGACACGGTTTTCATCGACATTGATATAACGGCTTCGGGAATATACATGGATTCCATGGAAATCTTGCTCTGTCTCTCAGTGACGAAAGTGTCACCACTGGCGCAGTCGACACCAAAGAGGGCGAAGATATCTCCGGCCAACGCTTCATCGATTTCCTCCATATCGCTGGCGTGCATCCGAACCAATCGCGAGGCCTTCACTTTCTTACCGGTTCTGGTGTTGTAAATATAAGTACCCTTTCGTAACATTCCCTGATATACTCTCATATAAGTGAGTTGTCCGAAACGGCCCGCTTCTAACTTGAATGCCAGCCCCACAAACATTTGGGCGTCACTTCTCTCTGCATTCATCGGCAACTTCTTGGGTGTCGATCCCTCCTGTTCTTCGAGTAGAGCGTAATTATTCACTTGGGATGGGTTTGGAAGATAATTGATCACCGCATCCAACATGTGTTGCACTCCTTTGTTCTTCAGTGCACTTCCCGTTAAGACTGGTATGAATTTCAATGACAAACACGAGCGACGAATTGCTTCCTATAAACCCAATGATTATTTAAGAAGAAATTACAAATATTTTATAATATATTAATTAAACCATTATTTGTTGATTATTTGGTTTCTTTTCTTCGAGAAACATTTCGCCTAAAATATCGTCACAATTGGATAAACATTCAATCAGTTCTTGTCGTTTAGTCTCGACTTCGGCGGTCATATCACTGGGAACTTCACTTTCTCTTATCTTTTCGCTGAAATAAATTCAAATAAAATTATAATTATATCTAAACAACAATTTCATTGATTCAAATCCAACCCATTTTGGCCCTCAAAGTAAATGGCTTTGCGTTCAATGAGATCAATAAGTCCGGTGTGTTTGGACTCCAGACCAATGGGGATATTAATAAAGGCGGCATTAAATCCAAGTTTGCGTCGGATCTGATCGACAACTTTATTAGGATTGGCTGACTGTCGGTCCAGTTTATTGATGAATGCAATGCACGGCACGTCATATCTCCTCATCTGTCGGGTGACAGTCATTGTCTGTGACTGAACGCCTCCCACACCACACAACACGAGTACCGCGCCGTCCAATACTCGCAACGCTCGCTCCACCTCCACAGTGAAGTCCACGTGTCCGGGAGTGTCAATGATATTAATAGCCGTTCCCTTCCACAGCACATGAGTGGCCGCCGACTTGATTGTGATCCCTCTCTGTCTCTCCAACTCCATCGAGTCCATTGTGGCTCCGATCTGGTCCTTACCCTTCACTTCGTGCATCTCATGTATTCTTCCGGAGTAGTAAAGGATCCGTTCAGTCACTGTAGTCTTCCCGCTGTCGATGTGCGCCGATATACCAATGTTTCGCATCTGTTCCACAGCCCGATGTTCAGCACCCATCACATCGCTAGCAAACCATCGACTACTACCACCACTACTACCGTGACCATGACCGTGACCATGCTCAATCCGCTAATTGACATCATTATAATCAATATATTGAATCACATGTGAGTGCACTTCAAATTGATATCGTTTTACTATACCTTTAAATATCTAAAGTCTAGCAATAATTTCTTGTAAACTTTAAGTGAAAAACTTTTGTTTGAAAGCGATTTAAACATATTTTAATAAAATGTGATTAAAATAAATGTAATTATAAAATGAAATCTAACTGTAATTCAAATCACATGTCAATCAAAACAAACCAATGAATTGATGAAATGCCGGCAATTCATAGACAACGTTACGGCCAACACAGCGATCGTCGTGTGAATTAACAATAATTATATGATTGCAGGTTTTCTAACTATTAACCATCAAATACTCACCATTATTTTACAAATACAATATTAACATTAATAAATTTATTCAAATATTGATTAACACTCAGAATAAATATTAATTAAATAAACTTCAAGACAATCATTTTAATTAAATATTATTACAGTTCTTAAGTTTGCGTTCATTTGAATCTTACGTCTAAATTGTTTTCAATATCTATTAATTATCGAAAATAAGAGTAAATAACTAGAAATGAGATGTGATTCAAATGGTGTGATTGTGGTTGTGATGGTGTTTGTGGTGATTGTGATTCAATGGGTAGTATTCGTTGTAGTCATAAGTCCTGAGCGGAACCGAGAATGTCAAGAGTCCGTAATCCTTAGCCAAAGTGATGGCAACCAAAAGCTGTTCGTATTGTTTACTACAAAGACATAGAATGGTATTCTCGTAGACATAACCCGAATGAGGATTAATAAATTGATTCAATAGATCCATATTCTGTTCAATACATCAATCATTAATTACACATTATTTAAGACAAGACTAACCAATACTCACTGTATAGTGAAGTACGAGGTATTCGTCGCGACAAACTATATGGGCAAATGGCAGGTATTGGAGCCCATCATGAATGTCGAGGTTTCGTGTCCTTCCGAATATCAGGGAGAGCTCATCGGACAGGTCTCCCGACGCAATGGTGTCCTCATCTCCACCGACGACTCGAATAATTGGTTCACAATTAATGCTGAAGTAATCGATCGTTTATTTGAAAAAAGTTATTGTATTGTAAGTTATTGTTCTCATTGAAGGTGCCATTGAATGACATGTTTGGATTCGCCACTGAATTGAGGTCCAGTACTCAGGGAAAGGGAGATTACACTATGGAGTACTGCCGCTACTCACCCGCCAGAGCGGACCTAACCCAACACCTCATCGAACAATACAATCAACAGTTGGAGGCAAACAGACTCATGAAGAAGAAGAATAAATAATGATTTGTCTAATAAAGACATTTAAGCAGTAGTGATGTTGTTATGGTTGTTGTAGTTGTTGTTGGAGTAGCTGCTGCTGCTGTTGGTGTTGTTGGCATTGGAGGAGGTGTTGGTGTCTGAGGCGGTCGAGATCGTTGAGTCGGGTGCGCGAGTGCTCCAACCGATGCCACGCCATGTGATTCACTTTCATCGACGCATAACTGGACCCCTCGTGTGCCTGACCTGTCGAGACACGTGACAGGTATTGGATTTGTTTACTGATCTCATTGT